TTTTTTTACTCATTTTGCGAGCTCCTGCGTTTTGTTTTGAAGTAATCGGTCACGTGATGGAGAAGCGTGGCTTGACGTGTGTCAAGCGTGACACAGACGGATGTAACGGAGAATCCGGTAGTTTTTCAAAATAAAACATATTTCGTATTCCGAAATAAATAAAACGGAAGTAAGGCAAGTTCTTTCTGTGCGGCCTGGTACCAAATGCCCAGCGGTACCGGTCCGCGGACCGGCGGCTGGGGACCCCTGCTCTAGATCGTGGCATCCAAACGGATAGAAACGGTAATGACCATGGAAGAGAGAGTGGAAAGCATCCTATTAGCTACTCAGAGTAAATTGCTTATGGCTCGACGGACAGTCGAGTAAACAGACGTTTCTTGGAATGCTTTACCTGTTATCGTGCTAAAAGCCTTCTGCTAACTGGACCGTTAATTAGAGAGAAGGTGAGTTCTATAGAGCTAACTATGGGCATCGAGGAAATCGAAGCGTCCCGTCGCTGGCTTCAAAAGTTTGTTGCACGCCATCAGCTGAGCAATGCTGTCTTGTGTGGTGATCGAGGGGAGGTAAAGTTCAAAACAGTGAGTGGAAAGAAAAGCCACCAGGTCTGTTACTAGTCTCATTTTGTAGAAAATAGTCCTAATTTCGTGACGCATCTTGTTATACTGTATTTTGTTCATACAATATACTCCACCTGTACTGCATACTGCAGTTTTTGTTATAAACGGGTTTTGGGCCATATATTTTTGCATTTTAGTGCTTGTGTTGTTACACATGTATTTTGTTAACATACTTGCATGTTTAAAGGACATGTACCATAGTCGTTTCCCACATAAGGAAACTGTTACAGTGAAACTCCTCTACAACGAAACCTACATGGGCGAAAATACCCCCGAGTGTGAAAAAATGTTCATGCATGAAAGCCATTCCCACTTTTCTTCTCCCCCTACGACGAAAAGTTTCGCAGTTATGTATGAGTGCAAAAGTCCTTACTCGAGAATACTTGTGTGTGTGTGTGTGTGTGTGTGTGTGTGTGTGTGTGTGTGTGTGTGTGTGTGTGTGTGTGTGTGTGTGTGTCAGAATCATCTTTATTGGCCAAGTTTATCGAACTGTTGAGGAATTTATTCCTTACTGTGATTTTATTTAGCCCCTCTCTGTTGTTGGATCTGTTCAAACATTTGAAACAAAGAATGTAGTATGCTGTTGAAGGTATTTCCTGCTCACTGTGATTACAATCACCTTTAGTGCCCCTTGACCCCCACCACTTTTAGGGCCCCCTCCATTGCACATGTTTAACATCAAAAGAGGAACTGTTATCTCAAGTATCTGTGTTGCTGCCATCACATCAAAGCTCAGACCGAAGACAATAGGGGGTGTAATGGTGGTCTGATCTCACCTCACCACTCCCAACAGATGACATGTTAATTTCTTTGTTTTTGGGATTTGCATGGAGGCGTAACTGCCCGCCTCTCATTATCATATTGTCTCTATCTATTCTCATGACTGTGTTTTTTTCTACGCTTCTTCATGAAATCTGAAACTCAGGAGCCCGAATCGATTTTAATTGTGATGGATAAACTGTAGAAATATGGCGTGGTGTTGGGTCTTTATTCCACCTTATAGAGAAATAAAATAACCTGTGTCCAAGGAGGGCCATAAGGAAATGGACAGATCCCCTCCTCAACAAGAACACACAAGGAATTTGTCTCCGGTAGTACAGGCTACACTAGTATCATCATAAACAAGGAATTGACAAATAAGTATGGGAGGACATTCTGTAATGCAAGTGTACCGTTGTGCGGTGGTACCACCCAATGACAGCTGTGAGACAATGTGCAAAGGATCAAGCAGAGCGAAAGTGATCAGTGGTAGAATACAATACTATAACAGTTGGTGCTGAAAATCATTGCACCATTTTAAAGTGACCAGTAGTAGTATTTGTAGTACAACAAGTGTGCAATTGTGAAGATGCCCTTGAGCGCTTTAAAGTGTCTGGTGCTCTGGAGTATAGATCAGTGACAGTGGTTCAAGTAAGTACAGGGCTGGAGCTACAATGATTATAGTGGTAATGCTGTTCCACAGGGTTGTGCAAAATTGCCAAGAGCCACTAGACACAAGCACTTTGGGTTACTATTTCGGGAGTTAATGGCTAGAGGGAAGAAACTGTTTGAGTGTCTGCTGGATTTGGTGCGCATAGATCGGTGGTGGGCAGGGTTTGGGGTTCCAGTAGGATTTTCCGTGCCCTTGTCTTGGTTCTTGCGGTGTGTACGTCCTCAAGAGTGGGTAGGTATGGCGGTGCTGTCCTGAGCGTGTTCAGCTCCAGGTTGTGTTGGCTGCACCAGAGCGCCAGCTGCTCCACTTCTTGTCGGTACGCAGACTCATCGCTGTCTTTGATGAGACCGATGACTGTGGTGTCGTCTGCAAACTTTATGAATTTGACGGCTGGGGGTGTCGAGGTGCAATCATTCGTGTAGAGGGAGAAGAGCAGTGGAGAGAAGATGCATCCCTGCGGGGCTCCAGTACTGGTGGTGCGTGTTGATGATGTTGTCCTTCCCAGCCTCACCTGTTGTGTCCATCCCGTCAGGAAGCTGAGGATCCACTGGCAGATCGTAGGGGACACACCGAGCTGGAGAGATTTGGGGGTGAGGAGTTCTGGGATGATGGTGTTGAACGCAGTGCTGAAATCCAAAAACAGGATCCTTGCATAGGTCCTTGTGTTGTCGAGGTGCTCGAGGATGGAGTGCGGCCCTATGTTGACTGCATCCTCCACAGACCTGTTTGCCCAGTAGGCAAACTGCAGTGGGGCCAGCAGGGGTCCGGTGATGTTCTTTAGGTGGTTCAGCACAAGGCGTTCAAAAGACTTCATGACCACAGACGTCAGTGCGACAGGCCTATAGTCGTTCAGTTCCAATGTTGCTGGTTTCTTGGGAACTGGGATGATGGTAGACTGTTTGAAGCAGGATGGGACCTCACACAGCTCTAGGGGTCTCTTGAATCTTGATCTTTGTGTGAAGACCGGAGCTAGCTGGTCAGCGCAGACTTTCACGCAGGAGGTCAACACTTTGTCGGGCCCCGCAGATTTCTTGATTTTCTGCTGCTTGATGAGCCATCTCACGTCCTGTTCGTGGATCAGTAGGGCAGAGAATGAGGGTGGGGGCGTGGATCGAGTAGTTTCTGGTAGAGGTGGGCAGATGTGGGAAATGGGGGTGTAATTTTCACATCGGGAAAAAAAACATGTTTAATTCATCAGCCAGACCCTTATTGTTCACTGCTTGGGGGGATGGTGTCCTATAGTTTGTGATTGCTTTCATGCCATTCCACACAGATGGAGAGTCATTAGCAGAAAACAGTTTAATCAGCTTCTCTGCATAGCTTCTCTTTGCGATATTAATTTCCTTTGTCAATTGGTTTCGAGCGTGTTTATACAGTGCCCTGTCTCCACTTCTAAATGCGGCCTCTTTCTCTTTTCTAAGTTGCCTGAGTTTGGCAGTGGCTTGTTATTGTTAAAGGAGCGGAAGGACTTTGTTGGTACACACGTGTCCTCACAGAAACTGATGTATGATGTTACAGTGTCTGTGTATTCATCCAGTGTGCCCGTTGACGTTTCAAAGACGCCCCAATCGGTGCAGTCCAGGCATTCTTGTCGAGCGAGCTTTGCTTTATCAGTCTATAGCCCTGTTCACACGGCACACATTTGGTCCGACGCTGCACCGAAATATTTTGTTGCGATATATTTTACACCGGAGCAAATTTTGTGGAGCGGTCACACGTGCAAAGCCGCTGAGCGTGACAGCTCCG